TGTGGCAATGGATTTCAGCTGAGCCACAACACCTGCTGCTTGGGTGATTTGCCGGGTGCAGGTTGCCACATGACGCGCAGCTTTTATAGATCTCAACTCAGAGCATCACCTGGTGCCTGCTTTGTGCACTTCCCAAGCAGCCCCAAGCACTTTAGATAGGCAGTCTCTAAGGATTTCTTCAAGATTTGCAGACTGTTGAAGTGGAAAAGTTTTCTAGTTGATTAAAAACAAATTCTAAATCCCGTATCCGCAACTGTTTGTTTAATGGTTGAGGTAACCGTAGAAAAATGCAATAAACAAGACAGAAATAGTCTTTGCTCCATTGTGAACATGGGGCCCTGGGAATCTCATTGGATTTTGATCCTTCACCTCCTGGTCTGTAAACAGGAACTCATCTAGGTGATCTCAGACTGACTTAAGTGTGTGAGTGTGTGTATTTTTTAATTAAAATTTAATGCTTCAGTTCCAGAATTTGTTTGGTTCTTTTTTAAGTCATCCGTGTCTTTGTTGAGTTTATTTTGTTCTTGTAATGCTTTCCTGATGTCATTAAATTCTTTAGCTGTATTCTCTTATGAATTCTTTGTTGGGGTAGTTCATGTATCTCCATTTCTTGAGGGTCAGTTAGTTACTGGAAGTTTACTGTGTTCCTCTGGCAATGTCATTTCCCTGGTTCTTAATGAGGCTCATAGCTTTGGATAGGTATCCAGTTACCTCTTCTAGACTGTATGGCCTGACTCCAGTGAGGAATGTTACTTTGGTCAGGTGACTTCACGGGCGGATAGGGGTGTGCTGGGGTAGGCAGGTGGTGTAAGGCAACAAGCATAGGGGTTCGTGGTAGCTCTAGTTCCAGGGAGGTGTGATGTCTTGACAGCTCTGGCTGCTGGGGTCCACAACATTGACAGCTGAGTAGTCCTTGCTGAGCGTGTTGGGGTATCTGCAAAGGCCGTTTGAGTCCTTAGTGATACCTCAGGATCCAGAGGCTAGAGACCAGGGCAGGCAGTGGTGATGGCCAGCGCTGGTGGTGTGCACGCAGAGGCTTCCAGGGTCTGCTGTGGGTGGGCCAGGTGCAGACACACATGTCATGGCAAGGGCCAGGCCCACCTGCTGGTGCACTAGCAGGTGTAGGTCCCTGATCGTCCTTGTGCACTCCTGTGGCTGCAGTCTCGCCATGGACTGTGCACAGCAGTAGAGGCTGGTGACAGGAGTCAGGCCAGCAGGGTACAGGTGCACAGCTGGATTGGCTAGCTGCAGGTGAGCCCAGTGGTACAGGTAAGTGACAGGAGTTAGGGTTGGATCCTGGCTGACAAGTGGCTACGGAGGCCCTGGCTGTGGGCATGCGCTCCTGCAGCTTAATTAAAAATTAATAGCCAGCACCCATATCAAACGGCCATTTCTGATGCTTCACTTAAATTTGTCCTGGTCTGTTGCTCTTTTCTTTACCTATTCCCTGCACTGACAGAAGCTGCCCATCACCACATGCACCCAGACCTTTTGTACCTGAAAGATGGAGCAAGTTCCCTGTGCAATTCTCCCGCCCACCCCCCTTACATTCAGAGGGTCAGGGATTCCACCCACCTTCCACAGACCACAGAGGGACCCATTCTTAGGCAAAGAGAGGGGGGCCTTTGGGGTTTCTCAGATTACAGACATCACAGAGCTTGCCTCTCTTTGCTGATTGATTAATTAGCTCACATCCTCTGGACGAAGAAATGGCAACACGTGTCTAATAATTATATTAATATCACGTAATTTCACAAATCCATTTGCTTACCACATCCACAAAGTTAATGTTTAAAAGTCTGAAGAATATTACAACTGATTTGTTTCACAGCTGATCTGATTTCTTCATTCTAGTCATATATAATAAAGAAGAGATTTCTAACATTTGGTGCTGATGGTGTAGCAAGCACTAATCGAAGCTTGTTGCCACAATCCTATGAGGAAGGTGCTAATAACAGACACCTTTTACAGATGAGAAAACTGAGGCCCAAGGAAGTGTAAGGAACTTGCCGAAGTTAAGACATTTAAGGAAGGCCAAATCCTCCTGCCAGACAAACTCCCAAGGGATCCACATAGCACAGGAGGGCCACGTGGCCTTGGCCTTGCATGGAAGGCCTTAAATTTAGGTATTTGACATTATCTCCACATGAGGGTACACAGATAAGTCATAGAAATGCACCAGAAGGGGTACAAGGGTGGCTCTCTCTCTCTCTCTCTCTCTCTAAGATTTTCTATCTATTCATTCATAAGAAACAGAGAGAAGGGCAGAGACACAGAGGAACAAGCAGGCTCCCTGCAGGGAGCCTGATGCGAGACTCCATCCTAGGACCCGGGGACCACAGCCTGAGCTGAAGGCAGACACCCAACCACCGAGCCAGCCAAACATCCCTGCATTGTGCTCCCTGCTCAGCGAGAAGTCTGCTTCTTCTCCCTCTGCCTACCACTTCCCCTGATTGTGCTTTCTCATTCTCTCTCTAATAAATAAATAAAATCTTAAAAAAAAAAAGGAATGCACCAGAAAACTGAAGAAGTCTGTTATACAGTTTGGACCACACTGCCCTTAGTAATATTTTATATATTATATATATTATATTATATTATATTATAGTAATATATATACATAGTTGTGTTACACTTATAGAATATGCAATTACAGTACATTTCACTTGTGTATATGTCAAAAAGTCTTAGGTTAGGTAAACATAAATATTTTTAATATACCACAGGTTCCAAACCCCACTTTGATACTTCTTCACTTCTTAATATACAGAGGTCTGCCCATATTTTTTTTTATTTATTCATGATAGTCGCATAGAATGAGAGAGAGAGAGGCAGAGACACAGGCAGAGGGAGAAGCGGGCTCCATGCACCGGGAGCCCCATGTGGGATTCGATCCCGGGTCTCCAGGATCGCGCCCTGGGCCAAAGGCAGGCGCTAAACCGCTGCGCCACCCAGGGATCCCGGTCTGCCCATATTTGATACTGGAGAGGTCCCAGTGCACAGAGCCATAGTGTTAGGAGGGAAACTTAGAAACTATCTTGTCCAACTTCTTAATTTCCTATGTGAGGACATGGAGACTCAGAGATGTTGAGTAACCTCCCCCAGGTCACACAGCTAGAATGCCCTTCTACTGACAGATCAGTGTGTGCTCTGTCCTGTACCCACTGCTGTACAACCTGACTTATGCTTCCAAGTAAAGCAAGGAGAGAAGTTATACACGTGAGCACAAGTAACATCCCGGAGGCCACAAAACATTTATTTTGAAATCAATGACTCCTTCCAGTGTAATCTGTTTTTGAATACATGGGGTGGGGGGACGATTACATTTCTATAGAGCTCTGCATGTTTCCAAACCCTTTGGAGCTAAGAATCAGTATTGGACCTCATGACCACCCTGGGAGAGGTGTGGGCAGACATTGCTATTTCTGCTTTTCTGATGGGAAAACAAAAACCAAGAGATGCCGCACACCTTTCCCAAGGTAACACAGCCAGGTAGTGACAGAACTGTTACCTGGCTTGGAACAGTGCGCCCAACCCTACTACTTTTCTGTGTACCAATATGTCATACAGGAATTACAGATGAGAAGAGCACAAGCATTCCCAATGCTATTCATAAGCCATCTTAAACCCCATGTATTTTTTTTCTGAAAGAAACTATTCTTCATGTAATCAGTAAGTTGGCAAAAAAGATAACTAGATTTTCCAAGTGATATTCATAAAGTAAATGCTATTTCAGGATAGATACTAAGCATTTCCAATGTTCCTTAGGTGTTTCCTTTCCATGGTAAAGTGTAAGAATCAAGCTTAGTCTGGGAAACTAGCACATTGCAATTAAAAATGCAGCCCTTTAGTCTTGCAATTCTCTGTCAAAAGCCCTTTCACAAAAGAGGGTATTTTAATTCAAAAAATAAAAGACAGACACTTCCAGCTTTCCTTACCGGAGGATGCATAGCTACCATTTGCAGCTAACACATATAACGAGAAAATACCCAGACAAATAGCGTCTGATCTTGCTTTGCTATGGGGTGTTTTCATCTTTCAAGAGACGAGGGAAAAACAACCTCAGAACTTTACCACCAAAACTTCCAAATTTATTGCAACACAACGTAATGGCAAAATGCTATTTTCTTAGCGCTCACATTTTTGAATAACCACCATGGCCAAGAATGCCTGGTTTTATTTTTACAATAAACCCAAAGAAAATCTGGAATTCCACTCTCAATCTGGGGATGGCGAAGATGCCTGGGTTTTTTGGAGCAAACCATTGAGGCTAACTGTTCAATCTTATCCTCTCTGTTTAACCTGTGCTTGAGGCATTTATTTCATGTTTATACTGGTTTGACACAAATCATGCTTAAAAGAGATTTCGTACCCGGTTTCCCTGTGCAAAGTTGAGCTACAATAGTAGACTTAACAATGCCAGCCCTTTCTGGGGCTTATCAGTTAAAGAAGCATTCAGCCTAAGAAAACACTTCTAGTGGAAACAAGATACAGAATTGTACATCTAGCCACATTCCACTGAGATCTGTCTGAGAGAAGTTTAGATCCACGCTAAATAATTTCTCTTCATTTAGCATCAATGAATCCCTTTCTTGCACTGCTTTTCATCCATTGTTGGAAGCAATTTGTTACATTGCTATCATATTCCATAGAGGAAGCAAGGTATAAAAACGGGCAGCAGAAAAAAGAGACTTAGGTCATACTTTTCAACTTATTTTAACCATTATTAAATTGGTTAAAAAATATGCTCAAAAATTTTATTCTGATCTTATCTCAGCACAATTTAGTTATAGTTGATATACATAATATTACATACATAATACAAGGATGTCAATTGCCCCCACTCCCCTCCCAATTCTCCTAAGACTAAAGTTTGTACAGACTGATGACTTGGTCAAGGTATACATTGTAGTTTCTTAAAGATAAATACACTTTAAAGTTTTTATAATAAGGAATGGAAAGCAAACTATCTACATAGCTTATTAATTCATCAGACATACCTTGTTTGAAGAAAGCAATTTTTTTTCAAAAATTTTCCACCACACAGAATGGATATCCTTTTTTCCTTAAGCTTTTCTGCATCACAAATTCCATCCAAATTATTCTAAAGAAGAAACAAGGAGAGGTCCAAGCAACTTTTCTCTTTTCTCAGAGGAGCTAATCAAACATTCCCATCAACCTCTCAGCACTTTGAAAAGCACATTTAGCCACACACACACACACACACACACACACACACACACGCACATGCTCACACACACACACACACACACACACTCTCACACACTGCTTCTCACACTGGTTTTAGTGCTGAATTAGGCGGTCCTCTTTCAAATTTCCACTCCCACTTGCTTTTCTTTGGGGTAAGGATTTCTAAATATTCGTTTCTAGCCTAAAGCACACATTTTCAGTAAGCAAATTCTATAATTAGAAATTCTAAAAAGCAGAAGAGACGTGCCTAGAAAAAATGGGAAATAAAAAGTAGGCTTTAAAAAGGACTTAAACGGGGCAATTAAATTTTCTCTTTCTTTTTCAAATGCTAGTGAGCAGCTGATTAAACTGCATAAGGAAAGAACACTGTGCCAATACCACCAAGCTGGTCCTACTGGACTCTCAGTCTTGGAGTTGAAAACACTTTTCCTACATAGTAATGTTATTTATTTATTTTTTTCTTTGTTTAGCTCGCTTAGGTCCTTTCTGCATTTTGGCAAGCTTAATGAAATGACTGTAGTCCATGCTGCTAGTAACGGGACACAAGATAAGAATAGTGGAAGGCAAAACCTGACTCATGTTTCAAAAAACTGATGGTGGCGAGCTTACATCATAAGTGAAATCTGCCGATTTTAGTTATTATTGGTATCACCGATTAAACTGAAGGGATTCAGATGCAAAACATATATCAGCATATCACACCATTAAAACACACACACCCACACACACACACACACACGGAAATGCACATCTGGCACTCCTGGAGATTCAAATGTGTATCACCCTAACAGAGCATCTTCTCTCCAGCAGGGCGGGAGGTAGCACAGAGCCATTCCTCCTCCTGCTGGGGAGTATGCACTCACGCAGCCCCAGAGGAGAATCCTCCCTCCCAGCAGCCCTACCTGTGGGCTCCGAGATAGTTCCTTATTTAAGATTAAGGTTGGAATGCTATTTAGCTTTTTTCCCCTCCATTTGGTTCTGCCTTTAATTATTCTAACCTATTTCTCCAAAAACCCTGGGCCTAAGACCATTGGCAGTTAAGAATGGTGCTGCCACACATGGAGGATGTCTTGCTTCTACCATCAGGGAGTCAGGGAAGGTTCAGATGAAATGGCAGCCCAAAGAGAATTAACAATGATAATAATAATTGCCTTTTTTTTAAAATCAAATGCTTACTTTTGCTAGGAATGGTGATAGTCCTCTACATTTATCACCTCATTTAACACTTAGAAGAACCTGGAAAGGCCAGTACTATTACTCCATTCCTCAGATAAGAGACCTGAGGCTCAAAGAGATAGTAACTTTTCCAGGGTCACCCAGACAGAAAGGTAGCAACTGGCATTCAAATTCAAGGCTGTCTGATTCAGAGGCAACTTGCTGTGTTAGCTTCCATATTAGTCTGGAGCTTTTTCTCTTTTGTTAATTTATTTTCTCATGTTGAATAAGGCAGAAATCAAATGCAAATGTATTGAAAAGCATACGAAGAGATGCTCAAAGACAAGTACAAATTAAAAACAATGATGTTTGCCATGATGAAAAATTCTGGAACTACTAATTACCCCTCATACATGGGGAATGTGTTCCAAGACCCCTAGTAGACACCTGAAACTGATGATAGTACTGAATCTTAATACATACTATGTTTTTTTCCTATATCTGCATACCTATGATAAATTTTAACTTAGAAATTAAGCACAGATCAACAATAACAAGTAATAGAATAGAACAATTATAGCAATATACTGTAATTAATTTTATATGAATGTGATCACTCCCTCTCAAAATATCTTACGGTACTGTACTCTTCCTGTAATGGTACAAGATAGTAAGGTGCCTGCACAGAATGAGATGAAAGACAGAGGTATTGTGATATAGCATTAGGCTACTATTGACCCTTAGGTGATTCATTGGAAAGATCATCTGTCTCCAGACCAGGTTGACCTTGGATAAGAGAAACCACAGATAAGAGAGACTACTATGGATATTGATGGTTGTGTATTATAAATGTAATTAATGCTAATGCATTAATGAACCTAAAATGGTTAGACTAGTGAATGTGTTGTTATATATGTTTCATAATAAAAAGAGAGAAAGAGGGACACTCAGTGGCTGAGTGTCTGCCTTTGGCTCAGGTTGTGATCCCTGGGGTCCTGGGATCAGGTCCCACATCAGGCTCCATAAGGGGAGCCTGCTTCTCCCTCTGCCTATGTCTCTGCCTCTCTCTCTGTGTCTCATGAATAAATAAATAACATCTTTTTAAAAATAGAGAAAGAGAAATCCTCTTTTATTTTTAAATTTTTTAAAAAAGATTCATTTATTTGAGAGAGAGAGAGAGAGAGAGAGAGCACGGAGGGTAGGGGCAGGGGGAGAGGGAGAGAGATACCCAAACAAGCTAAACACTGAGCACGCAGCCTGATGCGTGGCTCAATCTCACAACCCTGAGATCATGAACTGAGCCAAAACCAAGAGCTGGACACTTAACCAACTGCACCCCCAGGTACCCAAGAAATTCCCTTTTAAAAAAAGTACTGAAGGGGCACTTAGGTGGTTCAGTCAGTTAACCATCTGCCTTTGCCTCAGGACAGGATCCTGGGATCTTGGGATCCAGGCCCACCTGGTCAGGCTCCCTGCTCAGCGGGGAGCCTGCTTCTCCCTCTCCCCCTGACTGCTGCTCCCCCTCCTTGTGCTCACCTTCTCTGAATAAATAATGAATAAATAAAATCTTTAAAAATATTGTGTTTTAAAAGTCATGAAATATCACCTTATTTTCATTAGATGAACAAAAATGAGAAAGCTGGAAAATGCCCATGGCAGACATGTGGTGGCCCTACTGCTGGGTTGCTGGTGGTGTGGGCAGATGTGACTATTCTAGAGAGCCATCCCAAGTACTTAGTCACAGTATGTGTGTGCCCAGGGACCCGGGAGCCCTCCTTGTAGGCTTCAGTGAATAGTCTTCAGTGAGCTTCTTGCACAGGGCCAAGAGAAGTCCATCCCTGGAGAACCAAGGAGTTAAAGTATGGGACATGCACAGTATGAAATATTTTGCAGCAGCTAGAAACAAAGGACTATGTGTGGGGTTTGAACATCAATTCCTTGGGGCCAGATCACCTAAGTCTGACTCTTGGTTTTGGCACCTGACATTTGACAAGTAACCTAACCTCTCTTTTTCTTAGTTTCTTCATCTATAAAATGGGAAAAATAATAAAACCCGTATCACAGAATTATGACAATTAAGGGAATTAATACTTGTAAAGTTTTTGGAATCTTACCTCGTGTGAGGCAAATACAATATTAGTGTTGTTTAAATAAGCCTGATGTACATAAACAATACTATATTCATTTTGTGTTGCTGGGTGACAAATAACCACAAGTTAGTGTCTTAAGACAATACTCGGTTACTGTCTCACAGTTCTGTAGGTGGGAAGTCCTGGTGTGGTGTGACTGGCTTCTCTGCTCAGGGTCTCACAGGCTGAAATCAAAATGTTGGCTGGACTGGGCTCTTACCTAGATCCTCTGAGAATCTACCTTCAGGTGGCTCAGGTTGTTGGTGAAATTTGGTCCTTTGTAGTAGTGGGTTGAGGTCCCTCAAGGGTTGAGGTCCAGGAAACTGAGGTCCTCAGTTTCTTGCTGACTGTCAGCCAGAGGCTGCTCTGAACTCCAGAGGCCATCCGACTCCTTGCCACATGGCTCCCTCTGTCTTTAAGCCATCCAGGGCATGTTGCATCCTTTACATGCTTGGCTCTTCTCTGACTTTCTCTTCTGCAAATGGACCAGAGAAAATTGCTTTTCTAGGGCCTCTGTGATGAGTGTAGGCCCACTGGGATAATCTTATCTAAATGTCAACTGATTAGGAACTATAATTACATCTGTGATCTTGCTTTGCAATGGGACATAACATAATCGTGCCCTACAGGCAAAGATCCTGGGCCATTTTAGAACTCTGCCTACTACAGCTATTGATTTTACAAACATTACTTTGAGGGAAAGTAAGAACCAGAATGAGAAACATAATACCGGAATGATTAATTTTATGTGTCAATTTTATGTGTCTAACTTACTGACTGCAGATCCTGGATTTCTCAGCCTCCCTGTTAGCCAATTCCTTACAGTAAATCTCTCTCTCTCTCTCTCTCTCTCTCTCCTCTCTCTCTCCTCCTCTTGATTCTGTTTCTCTGGAGAACCCAGACTACTACAAATGCAATTATGAAAATGAAAATGATGTACATAAAACAACAGCATACATTTTGCAGGAACACTTGTCGGTGAATGTATACTCAGCAGACCCATGGTCTTCTGAGCCTCGTACTTGCTATTGCTGATGGCTTCTTTTGGGTATCTGCATGGATTACATGCTCAGTTTCTCCACAGCTTTGCTCAAATGTCAAGTCCCGAATGAGGCTCTGCTTGGATACCCTGTTTAAGACAGCCCCTCACCCCCCAGCATTTCCTCTTCCTCTCCTCTGCTTTATTTTTCTCAGAGTGCTTATTACATTTTAACAATATTTACTACTTAATTTTTCATTGTGCATCCTCTACTAGACTGTAGGCTCTGGGAAGATAGAGGTTTTTTTTAATCTGTTTTAGTAACTGACATATTATTCCTAGCTATTTGAACTGATGCATACTAGATATACAGTATGTATTAGTTAAATGCTTACAAATACATTAAAATGCTTACCTGGGGGGAAAAGGTTATTAGAGTGGCAAATTGGGATACAATGGAATAAAAAACATTATAGTAGAAGTCCCAGAGTCTTGTGTGGACCAGTGATGATGGTGCTGAGAACTGACTGGACCCTTCACACCCAAGGCCAGCAGCAGCAGCCATGCCTGAGCAAAGGTCAAGCTGGGAGCATCAGGGAAATCTTTGAACCTCTTTAATGAAAACAAGATCACAGCTTCCTGGTAAGTGGCCTTGAGCTTGCTACTCAGCATAAACTGAACTTCTAGATTGTTTCTGGTTGAGAACAGAATTGGTGATATTCGGGTTTTCCTACATTACTGCTTGAGATTCTGTTTCACTTAGAAATC